TCCAATGGCCTCCGGCGTCACCGCCGTGCGACGGTCAAGCGAAATAGTCGCCAGTACCGGCAGCGACGCTCCTGACAGGTCGCCAGCACCGGCAGCGACGCCCCAACCGGTCGCTAGTGCCGGCAGCAGCGGCCCTGACCGGAAGCCACTCACCCAGTGCTCCTCTCACGTCTGCCCCCCCCCCCCCCCTCCCCCGACAGACACCGGTCACGTGACAACGCCGGCGGGCATCCGGGCGAAGGTAAACAGCGCGGTCGTCGGAGGTGGCGGCGGTGGAGGTGCGGGGGCCGGGCGCGCTCGTCTGTTATTTCCGCCCCCGCCGAGATGAGGGCTATTTATTGGTGCATCTGGCGTGCACGTGCGCCGGCAGCGGCGGCGGCGGCGCCAGAGACCGCAGCTCCCGCGGTGACACATGAGCCGCGGCTGCCGACGGCGCCCGGCCGCTCAGCCGCAGCAACGCGAATAACCGGGGCCAGAGCGGGCGGCACCGGGCAGGGCATCGGGGCGGAGGACATCGGTCCGGGAGAGAGAGCGCAGGAGCGGTGGTGAGCGCCGAACGGCGACTATTCGCGCCGTCAGTTTGGCAAACCCCTGCAGTGTGAAGCCTCGGAGCAGCTGCAGGGGGTTTGAGTGCCGGCTGGCAGCGGCGCTGTACGGCCGCCCGGGCCGAGCGAGAGCTGAGACACTAAAGGCATATGTTTGCTGTCGTCGATACATTCCGAAACTTGCATGAACGTGACATTCGGCGCATGTCACAACATCCCAAATATCAAACAACTGCTTCAAAAATGAATTCTGGGTTAATTCGATGTTCCAATAGCATCCAAAACGGATTGGCATCGCGGAGAATAATTTCCCGGTAAATTAAAATGGATCGTGGCTTCAAGCAGGTCATTCTAAACATTCGACAAAAGACCCTAGATTCGACAAGATCCGTTAGCAACATGCGTTAGAGAATTCCTCATTTCAAGAGAAACAAATCAAAGCTTATGGAAACCTTTGACCATCATCGCCATTTCAAACCTACCAGATGTCAGAAAGCAATCTGTCCATTCTGAGCAGATCGTAAAAGCATACCTCAAGGACCGTGTGTGCGAAAAGCCAATTCAAGTGAAGGAAGCGGGAAGCTAGTACGTATGTTTCTGAGGCCTTGATGTTCAGACATGAACGTGACAGAGCTACCGCAATTTGTGCAACTGCTCGTGACAAAAGAAATCCTACAGCCTGGAAGATCCTGACACAAAATGACAAGGATCTTGGATCCTCCACTAACACCGGGCCAGACAAATGAGACCCCGACACTGGGTCGATCCGCGTGACCTGCGTGCATGTCTTACGCCCATCGGCTGCAGTCGGCCTCGGTGAGCGGGCGACGGGCGGCGGTCCGGATCGTCGCCGCAGCGATCACATAACATGAAACGTGATAATAACAAGAGCGGCCCGCTGTCAGAGCCCCCACCAATCATCCAGGTTGGGACGCATGCTGCCTCTTGGTGTGATGAATCATCACAGGAATCGGACGCCGGATTACACAAAAACGTACCCCATCTGAATAATCGCCTTTACAGCCGGGGGAGCTCCGTCAGCCTTGATAAGGCTGTTGTGGTTTTATTTAGTCCATGCACTGTCATGATCTTGAAAGATTGTTCTCAACATTTGATTGCCTCCTCAGAGGGTTGCAGCTCCTGCTTTTGCTTTTGCCAATCTGCATAGCTTTTGCGCACAGCTTAATGCTTTTGTCATCCCGACCTTTCATGAACATTAACGGCTTTGTTGAGCATTTTCATCGAATCTTGAAGATTTAACGCTGATTTTGTTGTGCAATATAGCTATGCATAAGCCTATTGCACCGCGGACCGCATTTCAATGCTCCCTCTATGACAATGGTCCCTCTAATGACAAACAGCGGAAAGTCAGGTGTCAAGTCACCGGTTAAGGACTCAAGACAGCAGATTTAGTCAGCAGACCGCAAGCATCTCTTGCCAAAGATGTGCTGCGCTGCGTTGACCGTGCTACACTGGCCGCAACGCAGAAGGCAAGATCTCGCATCACATGAAAGGAACCGTCATTTAACACGGGAGCGCACATCCCAGCACACAAACATCTCAGCAGTTACAGGGCACCACGCAGCGGCGCGTGCCGCACAGTGCGCTGCTGACCACATTGTAGATCGGTCACACGCCTCGGACCCTGGTCCGTTAGCACACGTCTCGGCACCCTCTGAAAGCTCGGCGCGTCGGCTTTGTCTGGCTTCCGGGCAGCAACGCGGGTGGGGCGAATATGATGCCGCCGTCCGCATGGGCAACTCATTGGCTGAAGTGTTCATTTCCGCTGAAGTCGAGCACGGGATCCGCAATCATTTCAGATTTGGCGCCAGATCTGGAGGCGGGACCGGCGGTGGTCGCCCCGTTCGCTGAACCCGACACGGAACTCAAGACCTAGGCCTAGGCCGGCCTACGGGCGGTCCGGCTGGGCAGTGAACAACATTTGCGCGGGACGGGTAAGGGCGAATGGTGCAGGAACCGACGAGCACCAGTTACATCTGGAGGCGGTAGTCTACAAAATCAGTATACAACAGTGCATGCCAGTTGTGATATGGACATATATACCCAGTATGGCGTATGCGATTGCCAGTCTCCCTTCAAGCATGTATTCATCTGTGACTCGCCTAGATTTTTGCACAGCTAAGGCTGTTTATTGTCCAAATGTCCAATTCAAACGCAACTTGAATCGGTGGACGTGGCCATACCCGTTGGATCTTAACACCCCATGTCGATGGTCCTTCAATGACAACTGCAGGGAATGTTCCTAAGGTGCATTTTGTTTACAGACAAGCTCCAAAAGACGCCTGACTCAGTTCCAATTCGAGAAATAACGATGACGCACACAACGCGTAGAGCATACCCAACGTGCATTGCAAACAGGTCCGGTATCCATTCCGAAAAGGCAAAGGGCGGCGACTCGACGTTTCAACATAAGCCTACAGTATGTGTGGTAGGCCTTGACCAATCGACGCACTGCAGTTTAAAACGTATATCCCATCAGAGTATGCGTCAAGAGTTGCACACTTTGTAGCCCTACGGCGGGAGGCATTCAGCATATGTTGCAGACAGCACGTTCTGTAGCAACGCTGCGAGCCGGAAACAGCTCGCACTGGTTACATCGTGTCTGTCGGGGTACGTGGCGACAAGGTCTTGAGCGCCCGATCACGCGGTGTGTTTCAACGATAAGCTTTGCAGGGTTCGCGGAAGTTTCCGTGACTTGTCGCGGACAATGGAGTAGCCAAGGAAACCAAGCAGCTACGTAACCCAGCGGCAATACGCCTTAGAGTAGTATGGCACCTGGCATGACGTGGGACGGGCAAAGCGATCACGTTTGTCAACGTTATCGGTACATAGTAATACCGAAGCCGACACGGAAGTACCCAAACACCTTCCGGAATCAATGTAGATGGAACCTACCGATACACTGGAACAGGTGAAAGGACATACCGTTGGAATGTCTCAGACGTGTTCACAAATCCCTCGAAAGTTGCCCGATAGGATGCATAGCTGCAGGTGGGCATGCGTTGGCATTTCGGAAGACGAAACCTTTTAGAGTTACCGCATCTATATTTGTGTATAAATCCGCTCTTGAGATCTACTATCAATAAAAAAATCCCACAAACCGACAAATCCATTGCGTGTGCTCGGGTGCACGCGCTGATTACGCAATTCGATCTATGGTGGCAACAACACAGCACTTACATTTCCGTCTCCATTCAACAAACTCGCTTCTGACGTGCATGAGATGGGGCGATTAAGCTACGTCATTAATATTATTCCAATAATATCGTAATGTTGTAGGAAGCCGAATCCTAATCAAAAGCATCTAGCATGTAAATGTATGTGTTCTATGGACCATGACACCATGAGGTCATATCATGGTTCAATCCATTTTTTTGCGGAACTTTAAACCTATATGGTAGTCGAGGAAGGCAATCGATTTGAAGAAGGGATTTTAGCCCACACACTTTTTGAGACGTTCTTTGGTCACTGCAAACAACTCGAAGTGTTGAAGCACATTGATCTGCCCACTGCACTGCCCCACCTTAAGGAGCGGCAGATATGCACGCAAAAAGCCATGAAATAGAAACCATGACCATGGGCTGGCTGGGTCTGGCGGCCCGGCCCCGTTGGCTTGCTGGGTTAGATCCGTTTAAAATCTTTAGCGCTCATATCAGGGCTTACATGAAGGAAAACACACTAGCGGTGGATTAAGAATACGTGAATCTGGGAGCCAGCCCTTCGCCGAGACTCTGCCCGCACAAGGACCTTCCTTCTCCTCGGACTGCGTGCGGGCGCTCGGACGAAGTTTGCCAGGGGGCGCTTGGCGCCACCCATAGACGGCTGACAGGTGTATGCAGGCTGCCCCGGAGGAACGTGGCGGCGCGGCGTGTCGGATGCAGCGACTACGAGGACAGGTCTTACTCGCAACCCACACACGCAGCTATAAAGTCTGTAGTACGAGCCCCCAGATTAGAACTGTTAAATTTGTTCCAACTATCACCTTGTAAGTTGTTCATGAATAGGCGTTGGCGCTGTGCTCGAGAGAAAAAACAACTGTGGTTAACACGCCCAATACACAATAAAACGGCGCAAACAAAAGGGCCCATGCTCAAAACTTTCTTTGAAAAGGAATGAGCCAACAAAGAAATAGGGTCAAGCATATGCTGACTTAAGCAATACCTAAGATTTCAACAGCACACAGTTAAGGCGTCACAAATGCAAACGCATGAGGAAATATACAGCAGCTTTTTTTACAACCACATACTAAATGCCACACAAACATGACCTGTGGTGCCCACATATTCAATCCGTCCTTAGATATAACTACAAATGGAAAACCTGAAAACGAACATCAAGTACTTAAGTCGCCTCGATCCAAACAAAAAGACGAGTAAGTCAATGAGAGCTCAGGTATAGACATCATGTGACAAATTATCATGACGTCAAACTTACCTACGCCCAGTTTTTGCTCTGTTCGCTTCTTCCACATCATAAGCTACATGTAAGGACTCAGAGAAACACCCTACATATTCCGCACACACAGCACCGATCCCACACTGCCGGCGCACCCACACACCATGACTATTGGCGCTCAACTGAATCAACAGCTCAGTATCGTTTGGTGGTTGCCAGTCCGTAGCAGCTGTTTGGTAGGAAGTCTATCTGAAAACAATATCTCCGTCAGTTTTTAAGTTTTGTATGGAAACTGCGCCATTTGAACACCAAATTAGGGAGTGTGTTACTATCTGCGACCGTGTGTGAGTGAAAGTATTTTGTATTACATTTTCATGTGCTATCATCTTACTTCCCACTAAACTTAGTTTATTTTACGAAACCACGGAGCACTACCGTCACCTGGCGTTACAATTGTAAGCTTTAGTTGAACGCCCGATGAAAATGGGAGCGGGGCGCAAGCATAAATAGAGGGCGCTTTATGACGCTGCAGCTGGTGACCAGCGGAGTGGTGAGGGGTGTCAGAACTTGACGTTCAATGCATAATCTAGGTGTCCTAAGCTGTAGCTTGGGGGGGGGGGGGCTAAACACAGACACGTGTTCGCTTACTGAGAGACTAACTCAATGACTAAGTCTACCATTTTGACGCCAGACTCATTCGAAAGGTCTTGGAAGTCTGCTTTAACCCTAAACCCGTTAGGGCCGAAGCGCCCTGATCAGATAAAGCGGCTCATTGGCAGCCAAGGGATTTTTGATCAAGCAGATGGTTCTGAGCGGGAAATGTGACCCTGGAACGACCAGAGAGCCCCTGAGTAGTTCCGGGGCTCTCTCAGTGTCCAAAAGCGACTTTTCAACACCAGGGAGGTCCTAAGCAACCGTGTAGTTTCTAAACGACCAGAATGTAACATGACCTTCTTTTCATGATGATGATGATAGTCAGATTCGTTTTACCTGGTGCTGTCTGGAATCTCATTCTGGAAAAGAAGCTTGTTTACTGCATTCAGTGCGGTCCTTTTTCTTCGCGCGTTTGTGTCAAGTTACGTCCTACTATGGGGCCTCTGGGTCTCCCGGATCTCCCCCTTTGCATCCTCTGGATCTTTCCCTCACCACATTTTACGTTGACTGGGACCCGGGGCTGGACACCCCCGACCACTGCGGGATCTCAAGCCGAGCAGAGAAAAAACTAGAGAACGTAAGTACTGAATGTATGCATATATGTATAACATCTGAAATGCTTCCATGCTATGGCTGTGGCGGATCTACGTCGTAGAAAGTCACCTTAATCTAAACTGACCAGTTGAGCAGAGAAGCTTAATTTCACGCCGATAAATCTTTATCTATATATCATACCAATCCTAAGATGTAAACGCCACAAGATACACGAGTTATGGAGGCTACATCACACACCTGTGCTCCCGGACAATTCTTTAAAGTGAACAGCGATCTGCATGAAGTAACTGCAGTTGGCAGACCGTACCATGTGACTGCAGCACGGTACTGGAACGCTCGCTGAGAAGAATTCTGTACATTTTAGTAAATTAAATTAAATTTTGCTCGAGTAACACTTATTGATATATGTAGCTAAGCACATCATTATTGACCACACTTTCCACATGAGATCGAGACCTGCCTGTTCACCGGACATACAAGACTGTGAACAACGCATCAGCCGTTGCTATGCGCTGCAAGGTCTGCACCGATAACTTACGTGTAAACAAACGCTCTTCGCCTCTCGGCCGAGTAGGCTCCGGTCGTGGCGTCATAGGCTTAGAATGGGCCCACCCTGAACTGAGGAATGGACTTCCATTGGCTTATGAAGAATGGGGCTCAGTTCGCTACTGTGCCTGTCGGCACGACAGGCATTGCTCGGGGCGTGCTCTATCGAACGCCGTGCCCGAGCAGTTGCCAACGGCGACCGCATGGAGACCGTGGCCGGTGCCTGGAAATGGCGTGCGGCGCGGGCGTCTGTCCAGCGACATGTTCGACCGACAGCGGCGTTCTAGCGTCTAGCGCGGCTGTACCGGCTGGCACCGGGGACCGGTGGCCGTGGCTGGGTTGCCGCGCTGTGCAAGAATCGGCGGCAGCGATTGGTAGCGAGCAGTGGTTTCATCGTTTTTCAGACCCGGGTTTGGTATTCATGTAGCTTTGCTATAGCCACTTTATATTCGGACCTTAGCTCTGGATGTCCTGTCGGATGTCATGAATGCATGCATCTGTAATCAAAACTGGTTAGAATTCAAGTTGCGCAATCAGTGGTGTCTAGCCTATTGCCCCGTTCTCCATTTTTCACCGCGTCGTGGAATGCCTCGTTCCATGGCTTTGCTGCGATTTCACAACCGATTACAGCGATCTCTTTTACCTGGATCCCAATGAAATGAATTGTCCTTTCCTAACTTCTATTTTTGGATCTTGTGCTATGCTGTTAACATTCATTTTTACCACAGGCAGATCTAATAATAGTTCGTGGAAGACAGGTTAGGTTGAGGCAGAACAGCGGCCTCACCCCCTGGAACCACCAGGGCCCAGACGCGAAAGTAGCATTTCTAAACTATATGAAGTAGCTCAGCACCAAGGCAAGTATGGTTAGAACATGAGATAACTATATGCTGGTCATATTTCCAAGCACTTTAGCAACTTTGTTAAGGTTTGCATCGCAATCATAATGTTAAAGCTGCCGTTCAATGCTTCTCAAAAGACGCTACAATGATAGCGGCGTGCGTACGATTTAGATGAGGAAGCGTGAGATGATCGTTGGGGGCCAAGTTCATATGCAGGACAGAGAGCTGTAACAGCCGGTAGAATGTTGACACAATAATTCACCCCGAAACCTAGTGTCCGCCCGTACTTCGTCCTCTCATTCTGCCTTCTTAGATTTTGGCTGGTCTTGAAAGCTGATCTTACCTCACCTCTGGCTCATAAACGTCACCAAAGTTTTAGGATTTCGGGCAAGCCGGCCCGCCGAAGACCTGACTTAGTTTCTAAGTATGACTCCTGCTCGCATTTCAGGCCTTTTATTTCGCGATCAGCGAAAAAAGAAGACAAATTAAGAAGACATTGCGATAGCTGTTCAAAAAGCTGACCGCCTTAAAGCAGTCAACGAAGGGTCGCAAATCTTCAGCGCCAGCGGACTGTGGCCGCTGAATTCCGAAGTGTTCTCGGACGACGACTTCATGGGGCCACCCATGACTCAGGGGCTGGAACAAACTTCAGATTCAGGCACGGGCGGTGACAGCATGCTGCGGAGTGCCACAGACGGCACGACAGTGAAAAGGTGCAGAGTCGGAGTCCACTTCACCCGCACCGACAGTGGCGTCAAAAGCAATGCTCAGTTGTGTAAAACATAACCAGCCTGTGGCCGGTCCCAGCGGCATTCAGATCGTTCACAGTCTGTCCCCGTTGACGAGGGCACCAAAACTCAAGCGCACACAGCGACAGCAGACATGCGCTGTGGTAACCTCTTCGCCATACAGAACGGTCGCTTCAGAAATCACCGCCAAGACAAGAGTCAGACTCTGGGAAGCAGGGTAAAAGCGGTACCGGAGAGCGTGACGCGTGGAAATGGTGACGGAGTGTTGACAGAGAAGCAAGGCGATGTACACACTAGTTTCTTCGTCTATTGTATGCCGTGCCACCTGTCTTGCGAATCCTGGATTCAGTGCACGAAGTGCTCAACATGGGCATGTGAGCTATACACGGATGGCAACAAAGGGCGGGTATCTTATGTGTGTGGCCGCGGCCGGGAATCGAGGAAATGTTGAAGAACGACACATGGGTACCGCTGTGTCGCAGTTTCATTCATTCCATGTTAGTGGGGTGCTAGTTTCAGTGTGCTGTGGCCAGTTCCGACTTACGTAACGTTTTGATCATTGTTGGACGTTTTTGCTGTATGCACGTTTTGAGCTTTGAGCTCCTTAGATGGGTACGTGAAACGCTACGAAATAAACTAATGGCGATGCATCACAGAATCTGCAGCATGTGAACTGGACAACATCAAGCAACAGGGAATGGCCAGTGAAGGGAAAAATTTCGACAAGTGTATGTTATATGCTCGTTGAACATGTCTCAGAATGCATTGAACATACAATTCTTGAATTAAAAACGCTGCATTTGACGCTGTTCATTCATGTCTATTTTTCAGAAGAACCTCCGCAGATATGTCCTTCATGTCTTCTTCATGAACTGGGGGCGAAACAAAATGCGCACATGAAAATTTTAAGGAGAGCTTTTCTTTGCTCACGTCTTAGTGCTGATACCTTGCGCGATACGCGACAAAATAAACGCAATGACAAGGGCCAAAGTCAGGCTTTCACAGGAAGGTTCGCTTTGCCCCAGCTCAGGGGCAGTTTGCCCCAAGATGGAGTAACGGGCCGTTTTTTATTCCTGCCTATTTTTAACAATTTTAAATCCAAAACATCATCAATACGTTAAACTATTATTATTCAAAACGAGAAAATGCACTGAGCCTGCTACTTATATCTAAGATGGTCCGATCACGTGCCTGAGTCCAAATATATGATGCTTTGAACGGAATTAGGAGACGTTTTGCCCCACCTACCCAATTTTTTAACTTTTAGTTCACGCGTGAACCAACGTGAAACTGATCACTCTTTTTCCCTTGTGGGGTGGTTTGCAGCGTGATGTCACTTTTGCACGAATGCTATACGTGATGCAATAGCCATTTTCATGAAACCCTCCAGGGCCGCGCTCGGTCGTAGTCAGCACAATTGTCCGCTGGAATACGGGATGTTATGCGTACTGGCAGAGAGTTCACTGTGAAGACTGACGAGAAAGTCTTCAAAATTTTACCGCCATTTGTACCTTGACCTTTTAAATTACTTCAGTCTGATGCTGCCCATAGCATGGTGTCTGGAACAGTAACACACGCTGTGGTATTGCGATCTTTCTACCCATAAGCTACGTGCTTGTTCTCATTCTCATCTCATTTCTAATTTCTTCCCTTCTCATGGTTAGTATTAACATGCATTTTTTAAAGCAAAGGATCTTTCTGTACTGCTACTTGCATTGACATGAATGCAATCCTTGTATTTAACCCTACTTGTACTGGCAAAGTCCATCTTCGAAACGCGAGGTGCCTCGTTTCTGTTCCCCACCTCTTACGAATACTTCAGCG